CTTGGGTCTCCAAAAAGGGTTGGTGATGGCAATCTTCCAGTCACCAAGGCAACAGGTAACTGGGGGGACTGAGGATTACAGTGACCATTCAGAACAGAAAGGTCTAAATTGAAGAGGTACCTTTTACTTCTGCCTTGTCTATCAATACCCTCAAGGAAGTGCCAACAAACAGAAAGAAATAGAAAAACATTAAACATGGTGTAAATATCATTTTTGGTGAGATTGTCAACATTGCCTGACAGATGCAGCACCAATTTTTTTTTTTTTTGTGGTACTAGGCATTGAATTCAGGGGTGTTCTACCACTGAGCTATACCCAGCCCTTTTTGAGACAGGGTCTTTTTGGCTGGGAATTAGAACCCAGTGCCTTGTGCGTGCAAGGCAAGAACTCTACCAACTCAACTCAGCTATAGCCCCTGCCCTTGAGACAAGGTCTTGTAGAGAGCCTTGCTAAATTGCTGAAGCTGAACTCAAATTTGAATTCTCCTGCCCCAGCCTCCCAAGTCACTGGGATTACCAGTGTGTTTCTCCCTGCCAGTCACAACACCAAACGTTAGCCAAACAACTCTCTGGAATTGTTTAGGAGATCCTGGAGGAATGTCCAGTATGTTGGCTGAAATGTTGATGGCTTCCACCTTCATGACATCATGGATGATGTCAATACTGGTGCAGTGGAATTCCTGGCTAGCAAGTGTCAAGGAAAATACTTCAATAAAGGAACATCTGATAAAAAAAAGGAAGGGGAAAGAGTAAGAAACAGAAACACTCCTGCCCTCCTGACAAGTTGTGCCCTCTGCCACATTCTAATCCAGCAGGAAGGCTCTCTCCAGATATCAGTATCTTGATAATGACTCTCCAGTTTATAGAATTGTGAAAAACAAATTTCTTTTAAAAAAGAGAGGGCTGGTGATATAGCTCAGTGGTTGATCACTTGCCTACCATGCACAAGTCCTGGTGTTCAATACCCAGCACTGCAAAAACAAACAAAAAAACTATAGAAGAAAGAAAAAGAATTTATTGAGCATTTGGAGCCAGGAAATAGGGCAGGTTTAATAATGACTTCTAGAAAGAACATTGGGTATCATTACTGGCACATTAAGTCAAAGCTTCCGAATTTTAATGGAATTATATTAAAAATAAACACACAGAAAAGCCTGGTCTACTAGAGCTCTCAATTGTTCAATCCATACTCATCCCAAAAGAGGGAATATACTCAATGTCTATTTAACTTGTACAGTAGTAGATACTTATCTGTGGCTTCACTTTCAGTGGTTTAAATTACTTGTGGTCAATTATGGTCTGAAAATATCAAGTAGAAAATTATTGAAATAAAAACTTCACAAGTTTAAACTTAAGCACCATTCTGGGCAGTATAATGAAATCTCTTGCTATTCTGCTCAAGTTTTGCCTAGGAAACAAATCATCTCTTTACTCAGTGTATCCACAATATATGTGCTACCCTTCCATCAGCCACTTAGTGGCTATCTTGGTTATTAGATTTACTGTTGCAGAATCACAGTGCTTGTGTTCATGTAATCTTTATTCTACTTAATCATGGCCCCAAAGTACAAAGGGTAGTGATATTGATAATTCTGATATGCCAAAGATACATTGTGAAGAACTTCTTTTAAGTAAAAGGTGAAAGTTCTCAACTCAGTAAAAAAAAAAAAATCATATGCTGATGTTGCTAAGTTCTACTGTACAATATTTTAAGCAAGACCACATTTGCATGACTTTTTTTTAATATTTATTTTTTAGTTTTCGGCGGACACAACATCTTTGTTCGTATGTGGTGCTGAGGATCGAACCCAGGCCGCACCCATGCCAGGCCAGCGCGCTACCGCTTGAGCCACATCCCCAGCCCTGCATGACTTTCATTACAGTGTTCAGTTATAACTGTTCTTCTTTATTAGTAGTTACTGTTAATCTCTTACTTTGCTTAATTTAATTTATAATTTATAACTTTTGCCTTATTTAATTTATAAATTAAGTTTTGTACAGGTATGTGTATGTAGAAAAAAATCCCAGAATTAGGTGTTGGTGGTGGTTTCAAGCACCAGCTGGGGATCTTAGAACTATCCCTTGCTGATAAGGGGGAACTACTGTATTCAAAGGGCAAAGATTGGGCCTAAGAATACAATGGAAATCCTCTTAGTACTACCAAGGTCTAGCCAAATAACTTATTCTAACACCAGTGTAGTAAGTTGTTCATAATTCCTGTCCAAGATCCTACCATTGCTATGGACCAATAATTGCTGTTTCTCTTATGCTTCCCTTTTCTAGTTTTAACTATGGTTGTCCTGTTTCTACTCTACTATAGTTTTGTATTACATGTGTGGGCATGGGGCTGATATTTGTTTTACAGTCTATATGCATGTCTCTGGATAATAAAAAGCCACATCCCAACTGATGGAGAGGACTGTACATAACCAGAAATCCTGGAGGTAGAGCTGATGTTAAAACTGTCAAATAAAAAATACAGGAGACATTGTTTTGAGCTAAACTTCTGCACTAGGCCCCAAAAGACAAGGCTAAAAATAAAAATAGAGTTACTCACGTTTAAATTCCATGTCACCAAGCTGAAACTAAGCTGTTTATTTGATCTTCTGAGAAATCAGGATTAGAGATTTCCCAAGTAGGCTACTTTCAATTGGCATGATGATGAAGTTCCCTGTCTTTAATTCTTTCATACACACACACAAAAAAGGTAACTTAAAGTAAACTAAGGTTAACCTATCAGCTATTCTTCAACTGTTCTGTCTCCCTGTTTCAGCCTCACAAGAAAAAGTAGGTTTGAAATAACCAATCCACTTTCATTTCTTGTCTGTGTACTTTAGCCCTTTTCAGTCTATAAAACCAAGTTCCACTGGGTGTGGTTGTGCATGCTTGTAAGCCTAGCTACTTGAGAGGCTGAGGCAGGAGGATTGCAAGTTTGAGGCGAGCAAAAGCAATTTAGCAAAACAAAACAAAACCCCCTCAAAACCAAAAACAATGGGAATGGGGAGGGGATAGGGATGTAGCTTAGTTGTAGAGCACCCCTGGGTTCAACCCCAGCACTGCCAAAACAACAAACAAAACACCAAGTCCCTTTCTTTGATTCACTAGAACATTTGTTATTTGTGGAATGAAGTGTTGACTGATTATTAGATAAAATGTAAAGACAATTAAGCAGGGCATGGTGGTGCATGCCTGTAATTCCAGCTACTTGGGAAGCTGAGGCAGGAGAATCACAAGTTCAAGGCCAGACTGGGTAATTTAGCAGACCCTGTCTCATAATTTTTAAAAAATTGTGGATGTTGCTCAGTGCTAAAGTGTCCCTTGTTTTAACCCCCAGTAGGAGGGGGGGAGGGGAAGGAGCCAATTATGATCTTTAAATTTTTATAATTTTGTCTTTTGACAAAACTAAATGGGAAATTGAACTCTACTCTTTATGAATGAAGGGAGTATGTTCTGTGAGAACAACACATAGATAATTAGGTGGTTGGAGGGACAGGTTTTAGTAGACACTGCCGATTGTCTCACTAGCTCAGTCCTTTCTTTTGTGTGGGCACAGGACTGTCCAACTGGAAACTGACATTCCAGTCTCAATGTCACTATGCATTCTTGCCAATGGAATGAGGTCTAAATTAATGTGGGTAATCTCCAACTAACTCTTGAAAAAAGGAATTTCTAGGGCTGGGATTGTGGCTCAGCGGTAGAGCGCTTGCCTAACACGTGCGAGGGTCCAGGTTCGATCCTCAGCACCACATAAAAATAAAATAAATACTTAAAAAGAAAAAAGGAATTTCTTGTTAAGTCTTCTTTTCCCTTTCCCAAAGAGGGAACATGCCAGTTTTCACACATCAAGATGGAAAAAATCCTGAAGTTTAACATCTTTTGTAGGTAAGCCTGTATGAAATTGCACTCCTATATTTTCTGATTGGAAAGCAAAATGATAGCATTCCTATAAATTGCAATTTGGCAATATCTACCAAAAATTGTGTCTATTCTGACTCACATATGGATTTCTGGGAAACTGTGTGTGTGTGTGTGTGTGTGTGTGTGTGTGTGTGTGTATTTCCGGAATATATATGCTTTATATATTATGTATATAATATTTATATATATATTTGTACAAAGTTACTGATTTCAGCATTGATTTACTAAAAATAACAATTATCCTAACAGGATTAAACAAATTATGACATACCTTCACTATGTAATACTTTCTAGCTCTAAAAATAATGACATTTTAAGACTGGAGTTACGTGGTAAGATCCCCAGGAAAAATGAAATATAAAGGGCAGAACAGTAATATGGTGTTTTTTTAAAAAGGAACAATTTAAATTTATTTGCTTGTAATTGTAGAAAAAACTCTATATAAGGATATATAAGTAGTGAGTGTAATCCCATATAAGATAGGGTAACCATATAATTTGTCATTCAATTGCAACTGTTTCTAAAGAGAAAGGGGGTGAAAAAAAATAAAGAGAAAGGGGGTGTTACTAATAATTATTTCAGGACAACACAGAAAATGCCACTGTCCTGGACAAAGTGGGATGTACGATGAACCCTTTAAAAAGATATAGGGTGGAAAGGGGATTGGGGATTTTTTTTTTTTTTAATTTTTAAGAGCTTCGGACTGTGATGAAATGGAAATAGAAACATGTCATTCTTTACCACAGGTAGTTTGACGGCTGACTTTAAGAACGACGAACAGTCCACCACAGATTTGAGAAACGGAACTGAATGAAAACACTGTAGTTTAACGTACCCGGCCCTTGCTGAAGTTGCACAAGCGACTCACTGCCTTGAAGTTCATTAGCCAATCCCAAGTCGGAGCGTGAGCGACAGTCTGAGGGAGAGACCTGGGCGGGTCTCGGACATGAGGAAAGGAGTTTTGCGTCATCAACCCTGGGGGTGGAGTTAGCTCACCCGGCTCCCACACACGGCGCTCTGGCCCACAAAGCCGTTACTCTGTGGTATCTCGGGTTCCCTCTAGCTGCACTCTGGAGGACAATACTCGTTTTCTTTCTGGCAGCAGGAGGCCCAGCCGCCTTGGCTGAGCTGGAAGAAAGATGGCGGCAGCCGTGCGACAGGATTTGGCCCAGCTCATGAATTCGAGCGGCTCTCATAAAGATCTGGCGGGCAAGTGAGTATTTCTCTGGAGCAGAGGAGTAGAGAGGTTGGAAGGGAAACCATCGATTTGTTCTTCTTGAGGTGACCAAAGATCTCGGGTGTGAAGCTAGGAGCGGGCCTGAAGACCAAGGGGGCGGGCCTGAAGTCCGCTGGGGAGCCAAATGTTGGGAGCAGCAGAAAGCTGAAGGGGGACCTTGTGCAGGGGCCCTCAAGTTCTTAGTTTTGGGATGACTGTCAACTTTTTCAGTCCTTGTTAACATCCCTACTGATTCCTTTGGGTTTTGGAAGCGTGGTAGAGAGGAGATTTTCCCTAGGCCTTCACAGCCTTCCCTAATATCTCTTCTTATCCCTAGTCAGCCAGTCACCCGAAATCTACTTCTTTTTGGACGCTCCCCATCTTTTGGTGCAGGGAATTTTGTATTTTGGGGTCTTGGTGCAGAGTTTTCCGAAGAGATGGCTTCTCAGGGTTGACGGAGGCTGAGGAGGTATGGCTGCTGTCATGTCGTTCTGAACCACTCGGTCCATCATCTGGGTATCCTTGTGTTTTGGATACTTTCACTCCTTCACCAACTCTAAGGAGGGGCATATAGGCAAAATATACTTGTGCGAGTTAGGATATATAGAATACTAATGTTTGCAGGAACCATTTAAAATGCTTAGATCCACTCTAAGTTAAAATTTGTGACATGTGCCTGTCCTGCAGGCAGTTGTTCAGCAGTGTTGTAGGTAGGTGGGTGGATAAATAGTTTCTTTACAGATTTTGCATTATTTCTATTTTTTGATGAACTTGAAGTTTTTCTGTTTAAAGTATGACTCTCAAATGATCCTAATACTCACATCCTGACAGCTGGGATCGCTTTGATCTATTACTCTAACCTGGACATTGAAATCATGAATATGTTTCATATGGACTGTGCTCCCTTTTCCCTGGTGTTAAATGTAAGCTAATTTTACCATTGGGAAATTTAGCTGTATATCTTGGGCTTAATTACTTTGTGAAGCATTTTGCCACCGAGGGAAATTGGGATAATAATCGGACTTATTCTTGTCTAAGGTTGTTTGAGGACAAAATGTGTGTGTGTGTGTGTGTGTGTGTGTGTGTGTGTGTGTGTGTGTGTGTGTATGTGTGTATAACTTAGTTCAGTACTTGGCACATAGAAAATACCATAAAGGTTGTTGTTACTATTTTTTAAGTGGCCAATAAATGCATACTGACTTATTCAATGGGTTGGGAATATGTTGAATATGTCTTCATGGCTCAATCCTTTTTGCACATAATTTTTATAGATTTGGATGAAAGTAAAACCAGCTTATATATTTCATCATACTTATTTTGCTTTTTATTATGTTGGACAACAAATAAGTACATTAGTGTATTTTTTTTGTTGTTTTTTCAAGCCTTTGCAAAATTCTGAAACTTCAGCTTAGAATCTACTTCTTCAGGGGCTGGTGTTGCGGCTCAGTGGTAAAGTGCTTGCCTAGCATGTTTGAGGCCCTGGGTTCAATCCTCAGGACCACATGAAAATAAATAAATAAAATATTGTGTCCATCTACAACTAAAAAATAAATATTTAAAAAAGAATCTACTTCTTCAGATCTGAATTGGAGATAAACAATGATACCTATCCTATGGGGTGCTTTGTTATAGATTACTGTTTAATAAACCAAAAATTGGCTAGGGATATAGCTCAGAGGTAGAGCACTTGCCTAGCATACTGAAGGCCCCAGATTTGAGCCTCAGCACTGCAGACAACCCAAAAACTTAGTGGTGTAAAACAACTATTATTTCTTAGGAGTCTGTGGGTTGACTGGGTTGTGCTGATCTTGAGTTGGTCACTCATGCATATTATGTCAGCTGGAAACTTGGCTGTAGATTTATTGCATATCTGACTGTTGGCTGAGTCTCTTATGTCTCTGCATATAGTCAATTATTCAGTAGTTTAGCTGGGGCTTTCTTCATGCAAGTGTTCCAAGAGGGTGAGAGTAGAAGCTCCCATCATCAGTTCTCTAATACTGATCAGGATAAGTCACAAGACCAGCCCAAGGGGAAGGAAAATGGAGTTTACCACTACCTATTTATTTATTTTGGGTACTGGGGATTGAACTCAGGGGCACTCAACCACTGAGTCACATCCCAGCCCTATTTTGTATTTTATTTAGAGACAGGGTCTCACTGAATTGCTTAGTGCCTGGCCGTTGTTGAGGCTGGCTGTGAACTCAGAATCCTCCTGACTCAACCTCCTCAGCCACCAGGATTATAGGCATGCGTCACCGCGCCCAGCTCACTACCTCTTTAGTGGCAAAGTGACATTGCAAAGGAACATGAACAGAGGGAGGTGTGATTCATTAGAAGCCATTACTGTAACAAGTCTACCTCGTGGGTTACTGTAAGACTAAATGAAATAATTTGGTTGATAACTGATAGCTAGTGCAATGTTAGTCCACAACTCCTTCATAGCGGCTTTCTGAGAAGTTTTGTCCTTGCCTACATGTATATATCTGGTTCTCTCTTGGCAAGAATGTGTCAGGGTATTTATCCTCTTAACAAAACAGTTCTTCCAGCAACATGTTTTAGGAGGGAAATATCCTTGAAATAAATCAGTTGTAGGGTTTTTGTTAGAAGCTGGGTAACAAGAGATTCTATCCTGAAGAATGATGGAATACATTGGTTTTCTAAAACTGATATTGTGTGATCCTGTAATTAGCAGCATATCTATAACAGTAGTTGTTCAAAAAATGTTGATTGAGTAGGGCTGGGGTTGTAGCTCAGTGGTAGAGTGCTTGCCTAACATGAGGCACTGAGTTCAATCCCCGGCACCACATACACACACACACACACACAAACAAACAAATAAATAAATAAATAATGTTGGTTGAATCAGTGAACAGCTAGAAAAGGACAGAGCTTGTATTTGAACCCAGGTCTGCCTATTTTAAAAAGCTCTTTTCTGATGGGGTTAGGAGCTGGGGTATTACTGGGGACTGAGCCTAGGGGCACTCTATCATGGAACTGCATCTTCAGCCCTTTTTATTTTCTCTTTTGAGATGAGGCCTCACTAAATTGCTGAGGCTGCCCTCAAATTTGTGATCATCTTGCCTTAGCCTCCTGAGTCACTGGGATTATAGGCATGTGCCACCATCCCTGGCTTAAAAAGCTCATTTTTAACCTACCAGACTATACTGCTTTTCTTGTTAAAAATTCAGTTAGATGTGCTTTTCTATAACTCTGAATTAATACAGCTGTCTAAAGTTGGTATAATAAATAAGCCATACAAAATGCACTTTTGCAAATATTATAGGCATATTTTTGTATATGTCATGCATTGTGTTCATTATCTCATATAAAACTTCAGAAGAGAAGGAGGGCCTTCAGAGGGAGCATTTAAATAGATAGCTGTTGTAGTGGTCTGTCTTACTTGGCTAAAACTCATTTGATTCTTTAAAACCCAGGCAGATATTTCTACTTTTTTTTTTTTTTCCAGTCTTAGGGATTGAACCCAGGGGTGCTCACCACTGGTAACAATCCCAGACCCCCCCCCCCTTTTTTTTTTAAATTTTGAAATTGGATCTTATTGCTTGCTGAGGTTGACCTCAAATTTGCAATCCTTCTGCTTCAGCCTCCTAAATTGCTGGGATTACAGATGTGTGCCACAGCATCTGGTACCAGATATTACTTCTTCCTGGAACAACAGCAAACTTACATACTCATATCCATCCATACACACCACCTAGATAATTGTTCATCCTATGCTTAGTGGCATCCTATATTGATCTCTATATAACACTAATTCGTCCATCTTCTTCCCTAACTAGAATGTAATTTCTTTTTTGTGTATTTTAGAATGTTATTTCTTTGAAGGCAGGTGTGAGGTCATGGATTATAGATCTTTGTTGACTTAATCCTATGGAAAAATGTCCTTTTTTTCCCCTTCCCAGTTCTGGGATATAGAGGGTTCCTAGAGGAGGATAGTAGGACTTCAGAGTCTAAACATTTTATTTTACAAGAAGCTATTAGTAGTGGGAACACCTCTTAGCTGCCTTTGCCTATTAGAAAAGCTATTTTTCAGAAAATGAAATGGATTGTACTCTACTCCATATAGGTAGACTTTGAATCAGAACTTTTTTTTTTTTTTTTAAAAAAGAGAGAGAGAGGAGGGGGGGGGGGAGAGAGAGAGAGAATTTTTTTTTTTAATATTTATTTTTTAGTTCTCGGCGGACACAACATCTTTGTTGGTATGTGGTGTTGAGGATCCAACCCGGGCCGAACGCATGCCAGGCGAGCGCACTACCGCTTGAGCCACATCCCCAGCCCTGAATCAGAACTTTCTAATATAAAGTGAAATAAAACTGTTAAAAATGGAGAATACAAAAATAAATAAATATATAAATTTTTCTAAATGGTAATACACACACATATAAAATGAAGGATAAGATTGGATGACATTCTAACTCTGGTTCTAGTCTCTGATTCTCTGTTAATCCCCATACAATAGTATTAGTGACTCCTATCTGTAGTGTAAATGTTGTTAATAGCTAGGGACTTCTGTCTACTAAGCACAACTGTACTTACATTTTAAAATACTTAACTCAGTTTTTTTCATATGTAATATTTATATTTATTTTATAATATATTTATATTACATTTTTCATGAAAAAAACTGAGGCACAAAGATGGAATATAAGGTCACATAGTGGTGGAGCTGGAATACAGCTTATCTTGCTTGTCTCAGAGCTCCTAACTAAAAATATCTACCTTTTTGTGTTATTTTCATCAAACTGGACTACGTTTTAGATAGTGATTTTTTTTCCAGGAATGTATGCTTTTTCCACTGTCATTAAATTGAAATATTTAGAACTCTTAAAAGATGCAGAGGTTACTAGAAATTATTTCTCTGTCCTAAATATTAGCTCTTAACCTCTTTAAAAATTTTACATATACACTGCAGATTGAACCCAGGGGTGCCTAACCAATGAGCATTGTCCCCAGCCCTTTTATTTATTTATTTATTTATTTATTTATTTATTCATTCATTTATTTATTTTGAGACAGGGTTTTGCTAAGTTGCTGAGGCTGGCTTTGAACTTGCAATCCTCCTGCCTCTGTTTGAACTTGCAATCCTCCTGCCACTGTCTCCTGAGCCATTGGGATTACAGGCGTGGGTCCCTTTGCCTGGCCTCGTTTTTAATTTCTGGCAGCTTTATTTTGATATGTGTATATGGATTTTCTTTTATTTATCTATGCCCCTTAGCATTTGCTGTGAAATAAGCTACCCCACTTATTTAATTCACAATTCTGTAGGTTGACAGTTTGGTTTGGGCCAAGCTGGATAGTTCTATTCCAAATTATCTTGTCTCCCAAATGTTTCCTCATACTGTGTTGAGCGGCTCTGCCTTTGTGTATTGGCTGGCCTCTTGACAGGGCCACATATCTCATCAGCCAGTAGGTTAGTCTGGGCCTTTTTTGTATGACAACAGCAGGGTTTCAAAGGGACATTTAAGCTATGTGTGGTTGCTACACACCTGTAATCCCAGTGACTTCAGAGGCTGAGGCAGAAGGATAGCAAATTTGAGGCCAGTCTAAGCAATTTAGCAAGATCCTCAGCAATTTTTGAGAACCTGTCTCAAAAATAGAAAAGACCAGAGATGTAGTTGCTAAGTGGTAAAATGCCCCTGGGTTCAAGGTCTGTTGGGGCCTAGGCTCCAAACTGGCATTTCACTTCTACCATATTCTATTGGTCAACCAAGTTCTGAGTCAGGGACGGGGGGGGGACTCTGCCTCTTGATTTGAAGAGCTAGAAAGTCACATTAGAAAGGGGAGTAAAAGAATTGTGGCCACTTGTGTAAATACCAACTTATCCTGGTTTAGCTTCTCTGGGTTTCTTGAATCACTGGATTGTATTCTTTCAGCAGTTCTGAGAAGTTTTTAGCTATGTCTCTCTCAGCTATGCTACTTCTGCACCATCTTGTATTCTCTTCTAGGCTCCAGTGAAATCCCTGTTAGGTCCACCTACCATAACCTCTTATTCTTTTTTGTGTATTTTCATTTCATTGTTTTATTCTAAATAGTTTCTTTTTTTTTAATATCTGGAAAGAAGCTTTATTTTATTTTTTTAAATATTTATTTTTTAGTTATCGGCGGATACAACATCTTTGTTTGTATGCCAGGCGAGCGCGCTACCGCTTGAGCCACATCCCTATCCCTCTAAATAGTTTCTTCAGATTTGCCTTCTAGTTTATCAGTTCTTCAACTGTGTCTAATCTGCTAAGTACTTCACTGAGTTTTAAGTTTGGTTATATTTTTCAATTATATGATTTCTGGCAATTCTTTTTCTAAATGATACTTTTTTATGGTTCCCAGTGTCTTTTAAAAATTTTTTAATTAAAAAAATATATATACATCTACATATTTTATATATATGTATATTTATATATATATATGTATGTATGTGTGTGTGTGTGTATACACATACACAATACCCTTATTTTACTTATTTATTTTTTTATGTGGTGCTGAGGATCGAACCCAGTGCCTCACACATGCTAGGCAAGCACTCTACCACTGAGCCACAACCCCAGCCTGGTTCACAATTTCTTGCTGAAACTTAAAAGCTTGTCTTTATCTCCATGAAGTGGTAAGTATAAATGTATTATAATCCTTCCAATAACTTCAGTATCTGAATTCCCTGGTTGTTGCTACTGTCACTTTTGTTGATTCTAGCTGTATTATCATGTGCCTTATTAATCTTTGTTTGTTAGGTGAATTATTTAAAAATACATTTTTAGGGGTATTTGGAGGTCTAAGATGCTATGTTTCAGAGAGGATTTTCATTTCTTTCTTTCAGGTACCTGAGGACACTAATAGTCTAGGAAAAAGGCTTCAGAATTTTTGGATTTACCTAGATGATCCTTGGAATAGAATTTATAACTTTACTCCCAAAGTGTTCATGTTTCCAGCTCTATTAGTTGGCCAAATATTGCAACTTGCCTGTTAGTGTTCCCAGCAAATTTGAAAGGAGTCCCAAAGCAGAACCCATACCCTTATCCCCCTTATTCTGTACCTTTTAGCTATCTTGCTTTTATCAGCAAATGCCATCAGTGCCATCAGGCAGAAGCTGTGGTTCACCTTTGTGTTCCTGTTTTCTTTTTCTTATTGGAATATTTTATGCTATTAAACTTTTTTTTTTGGTACTGGGGATTGAACCCATGGCACTTAAAACACTGAGCCATATCCCTAGCCCGTTTTATTTTGAAACAGGAACTTTATTTTGAAACAGTTGAAGAATGATAAACATTAGAGCCTCATTAAATGTTGGGGCTGGTCTTGAACTTGCAATCCTCCTGCCTCATCCTCCTGAGTCACTGGGATTATAGGCATGTGCCACTGCCCCTGGCTTCTTTCAGCATCTTATATTGTTTTTGTTATTTTTTGAGGGAAGATTAGTGCAGTCGTATGCTCATCAAGTGGAAGAACTATTACTACATTCAGTCAGCACTCATTTTGATTCTAAATAATGACTTTGGTACATTTTAATGTTTGTTTTGTTTACTTCTAAATCCTTTCAAGAGCCAAGAAACCAGGAATCAAAGTGTACTAAACTTTGTTTCATATACATAATAGATGCTTAATAAACATTTGGTGGTGGGGATTGAACCCAGGATTGCTCTATCCCCAACCCTTTTTAATTTTTATCTTGAAACAAGATTTCACAAGGTTGCCAAGATTGGCCTTAAATTTGTGATCCTCCTGCCTCAGCCTCCTAAGATTTGCACCACTATGCCTAATAATATATGGAAAATTTTAATTTATATGTTCTATGTTTGTATGTGTGTATCTGTCAGCAACCCTTGTTATTTAATTTGTTAAATTTAGAGATGGTCTCACTGAATTGTCCTGTCTGGCCTGGCATTTACAATCTTTCAGCCTCAGCCTTCCAGTAGCTGAGATTACAGACCTTCCCCATTGCATCCCTGAGAAACATTCAGGTTCTAATGTTTGGTTCTGTGACCTGGACAATAATATTTCTATTGTTGATGACCCTAGATTCATTAGGTCCATAAGAGAAAAACATTCTGGATGGCCCCAGATAATGTATCTATATAATATATAGTTGAAGGAAAATATAGCTTAATTTTTTCTTTTTGACACTCTGATAGAACCCAGGGCCTTGCACATGTTAGGCAAACCTCTACCACTGACCTACATCCTGGTCCATTTTTTATATTTATTTTAAAATTTTGAGATAGGGTCTTGCTAAGATGCCGAGGCTGGTTTCAAACTTGTGATCCTCCTGCCTCAGCTCCTGAATGGCCGGGATTACAGGCATGCCTGACACTTGAAACTGACTTTCTAGTTTGAATTCAAAACTAAAACTTTCAAGAAAAAATGATATCTTAGAGTTAATAACATAGAATTATAGAGTCAGTCTTTTGATGGACTTAAAAACTTCTTACAAGTATGATATATTATACTAAAATCTAGAAGTGAAATCTTAGAATTATAGATTTAGTATTGTTTTGGACTGGAAACTTAAAAAAAACTGATGTACTATAAAGAATACTGCAAATTAGAGTACTATGAAAGAATCAGTGGGGCTGGGGGTTATAGCTCAGTGGTAGAGCGCTTGCTTCTCATGCTTGAGGCACTGGGTTTGATCCTCAGCACCGCATTAAAAAACATAAAATAAAGATACAATCAGGTAAATAGAAATGAATAAACACATCAAACTTATTAATAGAAATGAATAAATATATCTCAAAGTTTCCATTAAAAAACACAGTAACTTCTGAACATTATTTTTGTTTAATATTACTTTAGGTATCGTCAGATTCTGGAAAAAGCCATTCAGTTAACGGGTGCAGAACAACTAGAAGCTCTGAAAGCTTTTGTGGAAGCAAGTAAGTGGGATGAAAATTTAATTTTGCCTTTTATTTTTGAGCTAGTACTTTAAAACTTTTTAAAACCTTGTTTTATATCAAAGTATCCATGTTAAATATGCATTGATATTGATTGATTCTACATTTTTTAATCTGTTTACAACTTGTTTATTGTTCAGTGAATTATATTCTAAATTACCGTCCCAATGAAGGTTTTGTGTAGTTTTGATATAGTACCTGATGAAAGACAGTCTAACATAATGTAAAGAGAATGGTTTGGATTAAATTTCTGGTGTGCTATTTTATGATCTTGAATAAGTTGTTTAGCTTTTTAGTGCCTCCTTTTCCTCAAAAATGAGCATATGATAATTATTTTGTAGAATTGTTGGGAGATTAAAACAGTTAATAAACATAATAAAGTGCTTAGAAAAGTACCTATCAAATAGTAAGTCTTATGTACTAGATATTGTTTATTAATGTTACAAATTTCCTCTTGAATTGGAAACTAGAAATTTTCATTCTTTGAGATCTAATTTTCCCCACTCCCTGACTTTAGACATATCCATTTATCTTGACAATCACTCAAAACTTAAGTTGGAATTTATAATGACTTAACAATATTAATAGTACTTGGTGGTACTTTATAGTTCACAGTATGTTTTCACTTACATTGTCCATCATTTAAGAGTCCTTTTAATAATCCTATGACTAGACAGTATTGGTATAGATATGCTGTGTATATTATAAAATGAATCTCAGGATGAAGTGATTTTTCTTTTTTTAGCTGCTCAGTAGTAGAGCCAGATAAGAAACTAGGTTTTCTGACTTTGTGTCTTCATTTACTTATATTTCCCTGAGTCATACTAATTTGTGTAGTAATTTCTTTCTGTTATAAGTGCATAGTTGCGATTATACTGAAAGTGTTTTAAGTCACATCCAGTATTATCTAATAATGAATTCCAATTAATATTTTGTAAGCTAAGTAATTATAAGTGCTATAAGTTACTGCCTCAAAAAATCAGAGCCTGCAATGTGAGAAAGACTGGCAATGATTTCAGAAAACCATTTGGAGTGACTTTATTGAGAACATTGCATGATAGTAGTAAAAGAATAATGCTTTTTATAAACTTAAATCTTTACATAAACTTTGAATCCTGGGGCTGGAATTGTGGCTCAGCGGTAGATCGCTCACCTAGCACGTGCGAGTCCCTGGGTTCGGTCCTCAGCACTACATAAAATAAATAAATAGAATAAAGATATTGTGTCCAACTACAACTAAAAAACAAATATTAAAAAAAAAAAAACTTTGAATCCACTGATCCCCCAAGAAAAGCAGGCTACTGTTAAAATCATTAATATAATTTGAACAACTTTTGAATCATTATTTATTTTCATAGTAACTTGGATTATTTAAGTAGTGGTTCACAAGCATGATACGTTTAAAAAAATATAATAGTCTGGGATGTAACTCAGTAGTAGAGCCCTTACCTAGCATGGGCCTGACTCTGGGTTCAACCCCCAGTACCACCAAACAAAACAAAAATATAATAATAGTGTTAATAGTAATTAACATTTGTTAAGTGCAATGTGCCAAGTATTGTTTAAAGTGCTCTGCATATATTATTGAATTCAGGCTTCATGAAGTAGGTAGATGGTATTATCCTCATCTTACAGATGAGAAAACAGAAGCATAGAAAGAAGTTTCTGAGGTTATATAATCAGGAATGGTAGAAACAGTGTGGCTTCAGAGCTTTTTTGTTTATCACATACAGGAATATCTCATAAGTATTTATAATGTTGATACATCTAATGCTGACTGAAGTTCTTTCTGTCTTTATTTGGAAAGTACAAGTGGTGTTAACTGTACTGCAATACTTGCTTTATTTAAATTTTATGAAAATTTATTTATTTGTTTTAATTAGGTAAATATGACAGCAGAATGCATTTTGATTCATTGTACACAAATGGGGCACACTTTACATTTCTCTGGTTGTGCACCATGTAGCGTCACACCATATGTACAGTCATATATGTACTTAGGGTAATAATGTCCATCTCATTCCACCATCTTTCCTGCCCCCATGTCCCCTTCCTTCCCCTCCCTCCCTCCCCTTTGCACAAAGTTCCTCCATTCTTTCCCCGACCCCCCATAATGGATCAGCATCCACTTATCAGAGAACATTCAGCATTTGTTTTTCTCGGACTGGCTTACTTCAATTAACATGATATTCTCCAGCTTCATCCATTTACCTGCAAATGCCATGATTTTATTCTCTTTTAATGCTAAGTAATATTCCACTGTGTGTATATACCACAGTTTCTTTATCTATTAATCTATTGAAGGGCATCTGGGTTGGTTCCACAATTTAGCTATTGTGAATTATGCTGCTGTAAATATTGATGTGGCTGTGTCCCTGCAGTATGCTGTCTTTAAGTCCTTTGATATAGACTGAGGAGTGGGATGATGGGTCAAATGATGGTTCCATCCCAAGTTTTCTAAGCAATCTCTATACTGTTTTCCATATTGGTTGCACCAATTTTCAGTCCCATCAGCAAAGTATGAGTGTGCCTTTTCCCCCACATTCTCACCAACACTTATTCTTTTTTTTTTTAATATTTTTTTTAGTTGTAGGTGAATGCAATACCTTTGTTTTATTTATTTATATGTGGTGCTGAGAATTGAACCCAGGACCTCACATATGCCAGGCTTGCGCTGAACCACAACCCCAGCCCTTGTTTGTAACCCCCCTTCTTACTGGTATGAGATGAAATCTAGAGTAGTTTTGATTTGCATTTCTCTAATTACTAGAGATGTTGAACTTTTTTTTATATATTTGTTGATCGATGATATATCTTCTGAGAAGTGTCTGTTTAGCTCCTTAGCCCATTTTATTTATTTATTTATTTATTTTTTTATTGATTGTTCAAAACATTACAGAGCTCATGATATATCATCTTTCATACATTTGACTCAATTGGGTTTTGAACTCCCATTTTCTTAGCCCATTTATTGATTGGGTTGTTTGTTTCTTTGGTGTTAATTTTTTGGAGTTATTTATATATCCTGGAAATTAATGCTCTATCTGATGTTTGTGTGGCAAAAATTTGCTCCCCAAATGTAGACTCTCTCTTCACCTCATTGATTGTTTCTTTTGCTGAGAAGAAGCTTTTTAGTTTGAATTCATCCCATTTATTGATTGTTGATTTTATTTCTTTCCCTTTAGGAGTCTTGTTAAGGAAGTTGGGGCCTAATCCTATGTGGTGAAGATTTGGGCCTACTTTTTCCTCTATTAGGTGCAGAGTCTCTGGTCTAATAATACCTAGGTCTTTGATCCACTTTGGTATTATGGGTTTTTTTAAACATCTTTTTAAGCTATGGGGGATATAAACATATACATTAAAAATATGGGTGTTTCAATGCCTTTGCTTTGTAGAAAAATAAAAAAAAAGGAAGAGAATAAAATTCTTAACCACTAAACAAAGCTTCTTTCAAACATCTGTTTCTTTGAATACTCATGGTATCTTTACTGTTTGGGTGTATTAATTTTATAATCAAGTAATTCAGCAAAAGGAAAACTGATTGTATAATATAAAATAAGGGTATGGAAATCCCTGAATAATGCATTGAAGGGTGTCCTAATGTAGATTTGTCTTAGTATTAATTTTAAGGAAAAGTTGATTGCTTAATGAAAATTTATGAATTGCTCATTTTTTTTCTCTTATTTTTTTGAAACAAGTGGTAAATGAGAATGTCAGTCTTGTGATCTCGAGACAGTTGCTGACTGATTTCTGCACACATCTCCCTAACCTGCCTGATAGCACAGCCAAAGAAATCTATCATTTCACCTTGGAAAAGATCCAGCCTAGAGTCATTTCATTTGAGGAGCAGGTAAAAATCTATAGCAGTGGAGTTTGAATTTGAGATAGCAGAAATTACTTTAGAATCTGATGTTACTAGATTCTTAAAGGAGGAATCATTTGTTTTCATTTTTGACAAAACAGTATGCCAAACATTTCACAATGCAAAATCAAAAAATTATTAGGATATTGTAATTCCAGCTGACAATTGCTCATGTATTAATATTTTATTTTATGAACTAAATATTGTTCTTTAGGCAATTTTTAAAATCCATAAAGTTATTAGGCCCTAAGTAGGAAAACTCCAGCATCATGTATGTAGTAACAAAAGCAAAATTTAACATTTAAATAAAAATATTGCCTTAATTTACTTGCAGAAGTGTGTTATTTTAGCTCACTATTTGTAATTCTGTGAATGCAAAATTCATTGAAAATTTTGGGTGGTCTAGATAAACTTTTACTATTTACTGGTCATCTTAATATATTGAATGGCAGCATTGTTACAATAATGTATCTGTTTGATTAGTTACTAATGTCAGCTAAAATAATTTAACATGTATACCTACTGTTCCAGGTTGCTTCCATAAGACAGCATCTTGCATCTATATATGAGAAAGAAGAAGACTGGAGAAATGCAGCCCAAGTGTTGGTGGGAATTCCTTTGGAAACAGGACAAAAGTATAGTAAATAGTGGATATTGGATGAAAATATATACAATTGTTCGCCTATACTTTTTCTTACGTTCTAGTGCATAAAGCAGACAATTTAATAAATTTTATAGTATGTTAGAATGTGAAAAGTGCTACAGAAAAATGAAAAGTAAGGGGGCTAAGTAGGAGCAGGTTATATCTATCACTAAATAGATGACTAAGATGGTATGTTGGTCCTGATATCACTTTCTCAAAGACTTGGAGGAGATAAAGGAGTAGCTTTATGCTGTCTGAGGGAAAAGTATCAACAGCTACTCTTGGAAGGGGTGATTAATATAAAGGCTTTAAGGGTAGGAGGTTTCTTGGAGTGTTTTCCTAAGAGGAGCAAGGAAGCCAGTGTGAATAGAGTGGAGTAAAAGAGGATAGAGAGATAGAGGATGAGATCAGAGAGTATTGGTGACCAGAGTATATGGGATCTTTATAGACCATTGTAAAACCATTGGCTCTAAGTGAAATGAGGGGGAGCCATTGGAAGATTTTAAACAGAAGAGTGACATGTCCAACTTAAATTTTAAAGAATTACTCTGGCTATTGGGTTGAGAAATAAATTGTAGACAAGCAGTAATCAAAGTAAAAATATTAGTTGAGGATTGTGTACTACTACAGATGAGATGGAAATTCTAAGAAATGTTGGATTCTGGAAGTGTTTTTAAGGTTGAATGTACATTTTCTGGTGGCTTGGATATGGAATGTTCAAAACAGTCAAGGAGCTGGGGCTGTAGCTCAGTGGCAGAGTGCTTGCCTTGCACAAGTGAGGCATGGGTTCGATCCTTAGCACCACATAAAAGTAAACAATAAAGGCATGCTGTCCATCTGCAACTACAAAAAAAAAAAATTAAATGACAACAACAACAACAACCAAAAAGAGTCAAGATAAGCCCTGGTTTTTGGCCTGAGTAATTGGAAAGATGGAGTTGCTGTCTCCTGAGTGGGGAAGAATAGGTTTATGAAAAGATCCAGAGTTACCTTTTGTACATATGATAGCTAAATGGAAATATCTAATAGGGAGCTGAATATATTAATATAGAGGTATAGAGTTCTGAAGAGAGGTGTGGGCTAGAGGTATACATTTGGGAGTAATTGGTATATAGATGAAATTTAAAGCCATTAGATGAAATCCCTAGAAGAGGGAATGTAAAAAGAGAAAAGGACTGAGTACCTAGGCCTGGAGCTCTCCAACAGTAAGAGATCAAGGGCAGGAAGATATAGTAAATGAGAATTGATCATTGGGATAAGAATAGAAGAAAGTAGAGTGTGCTGTCCTAGAAGCCAAATTAGGAATTTGTATCAAGAAGGAGCAGGTATTCATATATGATGTTGAGGGGTGAGGGTTAACCATTGGCATTAGAAATATGGAGACCACTGGTGACCTTGACAAAAGTGAAAGCCTGGAATTGTTTAAGAGAGAATAGAAGAGCTTGAGGGGGTGTGCTGTAAGATCCATAGTTCTAGGCTAGCCTTATCAACTTAGCAAGACCCTGCCTCAAAAAAAAAAAAAAAAAATTAAAAAGGGTTAGGAGTAGAGTACTTCTGAGTTAAATCCCCCCTCCCTCACTCTGCCCCTCAACACATACACTAAAAGAGAATGGAAGAGAAGAATTGGAGACAGAGTATCGGTTACTCTGGGGTAGTTTTCAAAAAGGAAGCAAAGAAATAGGGTAGAAGATAATAGTGTAGATTAGGCTAAGAAGCAATTTTTTTCTTTTATGATCTAGTGGAAAGCAAAAAATTTGATATTGAGGAGTTGGGGAAAGAGTTCTTAAAGAAATAGCCAAAAGAGGAAGGGAATTTAATAGAGGAATGGGTTCACAGAGGGGCATAGATAGTTCATCAGTGGCAGCGTTTCTTTAGCTCTGCACTATTGACATGTTAGATTGGATAATCTTTTATTGTGGAGGCTGTTCTGTGTATTGCAAAATGTTTTGAAGCATCTGGTCCTCTACTCCCCAGATGCCAATAGCACTACTATCTGTAATCAAAATGTCTGTAGACATTGCCACATGTTCCCTGATGGCAAAATTGCTTTCCAGTGATGATAGTAACAGCTAGGGACACAGAGTATATGGATGCAATTGCTATTGATATAATCAAGTTTGTGCAAGTACTCCTTGCTTCAGTTTTCTTAGGGAAGTCAGAATCAGAGTAATCAGCCGAAACTGTGGGTAGGAGATGGGAATTATGAAATTAAGAGACAAGAATATAGACTGAATAAATGAAAATTTATTTCTTTGTTTTTCTTTGATACTGAATATTTAACCCAGGAGCACTTAACCACTAAGCCACATCCCCAACCCTTTTTATTTTTTATTTTGAGACAGGGTCTTTTTAAGTTGCTGAGGCTGGTCTCGAACTTCCTCCTATTTTAGCCTCCTGAGTTGCTGGGATTACAGGTGTCCACCACCACTCCCAGCTTGGAAACTTTTTTCTTTAAAAAATGATTGATTCTGGCTCTGTGTCGCACTCCTGTAATCCCAGTGGCGTGGGAGTCTGAGGTAGGAGAATTGTGAGTTCAAAGCCAGCTTCAGCAAAAGCGAGGTGCTAAGCAACTCAGTGAGACCCTGTCTCTAAATAAAAAATACAAAATAGGGCTGGGGATGTGGCTCAGTGGTCAAGTGCCCTTGAGATCAATTCCTGGTACCCTCACAAAAAAGCACTTTTGCTGGTCAGTAGAAAGGGTAAATTTTCCGTGAGAATTAATCTTAAATTTTGAGGATTTTGAAGTATGTAAGATTTTTAGTTATATATTCTTTGCACAAAATGTGACCAGTAGAATAAAGAAGAAAATAAAACTACCTATAATCCTACCTGCTCTCATAATTGCTATTATTGTTTTAATATATGTATATAGAAATACATTTTAATGGTATTTAAAACATACTGTTTTATTTCATTTTTTCATTTAGCAAAAAGTATATGGTGACTATATAATCAGAGTAATTATTTTAACTATATTTATGTTATAAAAGTATTCTACCTTTTTATGTACCACAACTTGACTACCATAAATACTATAATAGGTGATTTCCATTTCTTTTCAATTACAGATATTTATAAATAACTGTACAAATGAATATTCTTGTATATCAATATGTGGGTTTGATTATCTTCTTAGGATTTTTTTTTTTCTGGAGATAAAATATAGTGGGTTAAGAGCATATGTAATTAAAGGATTAAAGGTTAAAGAACATATTGCCAAAAATTGTTCTCTAGGAAAGTTATGCCAAGTATAGTCCCACTAGTAGTATATGATATGCCTCAGAATTGGCAGTTGTTCTTTCAAGATCCTTGCTTTATGAGATTATCTGAGAATTATAAGCAACTAAGATATAATGTGATCAATATGATGAAATAAAACTTATGTTAAAATTTTCTATAATATAAGTCAGTAAAAAGTTTGATTTAATATATTAACAGTATATATAGGAAAGGAAAAATAACGTTTTTTATTATTGTTAAAAAGTTTTCTTTATAAAATATTGAATCATTCTGTATTTTTTTCTGATATCTTCTAGACAGTACAATGTAGATTATAAACTGGAGACTTACCTGAAGATTGCTAGGCTATATCTGGAGGATGATGATCCCGTCCAGGCTGAGGCTTACATAAATCGGGCATCATTACTTCAGAATGAATCAACCAATGAACAGTTACAGATACATTATAAGGTAACAGATAAACTTTTGTATTGGAGAATCATATTGTACTAAGATGTTCCAGATCATCTGATAAGAGCTTTTATTTTAGAAATTCTCTTTGTGTATGTGTCATTCTTTATTGCTTTTTTTTTTTAATTTTGCCCCTAATTGGAACATTTTCCTTCTCTGTAGGTATGCTATGCACGTGTTCTTGATTATAGAAGAAAATTCATTGAAGCTGCACAAAGATACAATGAGCTTTCTTACAAGACTATAGTCCATGAAAGTGAAAGACTAGAGGCCTTAAAACATGCTTTGCACTGTACCATCTTAGCATCAGCAGGTAAACACATAATTTATGCTTAATGAAGTTAGTTATCTTTGCTTAATAATTTTAGGGTGATTATTGTTGGAAAATTTAGCAAGGAATGTCTTTTAAGTGGTGTCTTAATATAAATATGATAAATTTAGCAGGTATTTAAATAAGTCAAAAACAGCAATAAAATGAATTGTTAACTTTAAAAATTTAATATGCATCTTTTAGACTTGGCATTCATACTTTTTTTCTTTTTTGTATTGGGAATTAAACCCAGGGGTGCTTTACCACTGAGCCCCATCCCCAGCCCTGTTTTGTGTATTATTCAGAGACAAGATCTCAGTGTGGTGCTTAGGGCCTCAATAAGTTGCTGAGGCTGGTTTTGAACTGGTGATCCTCCTTTCCACACCGGCTTTTTCTTTAATAAATATAATGAATTAACTTTTTACTCAATTATAGCAGGTAAATCACTCAAGTACAAAGGACTCTTAAGACATTATGAAGAACAATAAGAAGGAATGCCTGCCAGGTAGGGTGGCACATGCCTATAATCCCAGTGGCTTGGGAGGCTGAGGCAGGAAGATCACAAGTTCGAAGCCAGGTTTTAGTAATTTAACAAGAATTAAATTACTCAAAATGAAAAATAAAAAAAGGACTGGGGATGTGGCTCAGTGGTTAAGCATCCCTGGGTACAATCCATGGTACAAAAAATAAAACAGGAGAAGGAATGCTTATTCTAGGAATGGGGATACAGCTCAGCAGTAGAGGTTTTGCCTTGCATGTGTGAAGCCCTGTTTTCCATTTCCAGTACTTGGGAAGGGTTCAGGGGAACCATGACTTTTCTAAATCCTTCTGAAATCTTCAGTCTTGGACCATATTCAGTTGAGAGCCCAATGACAAATTGAAGCCACTCATTTTGTTCTTTATGAAATAGTAGTCTTACTTACTTTTTGTTGCGAAAATGATAGTACATAAACATGGTATTGCTTCATTTTCTAAAGAACTATCACTTCTTCCTAGTATTTCTTGCAATACAGAAGTACTTTTTATACCCAATTAATAGCATGATACACAGTTTTGCAACTTTTTTCATATGATTAAATAGTATAGTGATCTTTGTGTCAGTACACACATTCATTTTGATTTTCTATTTTCTGACTTCATCATAAAGTATATAGTTAGTGACAGACAATGTTATAGTAATTATGCACATGGTAAGTATACATTTAGGTTAAATTCCCAGGTCCAAAGGAACATACTTTTAACTTTTTAATATATACTTTAAGTTTTTAATATAAGTTATTCATTGCCCTTTAATATTACACTTAAAAAAAAAAGTTCATGAGTACCTGATTCCTCACATAGGTATTACCAAGTTTTTTTTATCTTTGCTAATCTGATAAATGAAAAATTGTGTCTTACTTTAGTTTTAATTCACATTTCATTTGTTATGAATGTTCTTAAGCATTTTTTTGTGTGTTTAAAAAAAATCAGTGTTGAAAAACCGGTATTTTCTTTCTGAGTCAATTATGTATTTATGTCCCTTGGCTATCCATTTTTTGAATTGTTCATCCTTTTCTTGATAACTTGTGAAAGCTTTTTATATATAAAAGATGATTAATAAAAATGTTTCAAATTTGTTTTCAAATTTTTTGGCTTGGTTTTTAACATCCCCCCACTCCTCCCCCCCCCAAAAAAAAAGTTCCCCAGAAGCTTATTTTATATGTGTGTGTGTGTGTGTGTCTTTTTTAAAAAATAGTTTCTTAGTTGTCAATGGACCTTTATTTTATTTATTTATATGTGGTGCTAAGAATCAAACCCAATACCTCATGCATGCTAGGCAAGTGCTCTACCACTGAGCCACAACCCCAGTCCCAAGCATGTATTCTTACCACTGAGCTATAACCCTAGTCTCTAATTTTTATATACATACATTTATTAATCTTTCTCTTATGGTTTCTAGGTTTAGTTGTGTTGCTTAGAAATGTTTTTTCTACTCTGAAATTTATACATATTTATATATTTGTATATTATGTATTTAAAAAAATATATGTATATATATAAAATATATACTATATAATATTTATAATATATAGTTAAAATATATATGTTATATGCACATACATATATTTTTAACTATATATTATATATAATATATTTAATATATATTAAAACTCACTTTCCTCATGTTTTCTTTGAATACTTCTGATTCTCTAATTCTTGAATGTTAAGACCTCTTTACTTTCTGAAAAATTGAGAACCCTAGAGAAATTTTGTTTATAGAACATAACTACTCTGATTAATGAAGATTGACTGTATTTTGATAGGCAAAAATGAGATCATAAATTATGATTGTTTTCTTTGAAGAAACATTGTAAAAGTATTTGATGCTTATGTTTCCCTTAGGACAGCAGCGTTCTCGGATGTTAGCTACTCTTTTTAAAGACGAAAGGTGCCAGCAACTTGCTGCATATGGGATCCTAGAGAAAATGTACCTAGATAGGATCATCAGAGGAAATCAACTTCAAGAATTTGCTGCCATGCTGATGCCTCACCAAAAAGCAACTACAGCTGATGGTAATGATTATGTCTTGCACATATGTAGGTATAGCTAATGGAAAGTGTTAAATTAGAAGCATCTTGCTGTCTTTTCATAACATTTCATTATAACTACTTTATGATTAAAAACAGGATATGCCAGGTGTGGTGGCACACGCCTATAATCCTAGCAGCTTAGGAGGCTGAGGCAGGAGGATTGTGAGTTCAAAGCCAGCCTGAGCAAAAACAAGGTGCTAAACAACTCAGACCATATCTTTAAATAAAATACAAAATAGGGCTGGGGATGTGGCTCAGTGGTTGAGTGCCCCTGATTCAATCTGTGGTACCACCCACTCCCCACAAAAAAAGATGAATACTATATTGACTGAAGATGAATATGATACACAGACTAATTCTAGATGCACACTTCATCCAATCTTATTGCTCTGAGTTAAACCAGATCAGTGAAGGGATTATATTGACTTCATTAAATTTCTTTTGTTTAATTGCATTTAAGCAACTCATTCTCATTTACTCTCTAGAGAAGATATTTTTTCCATTGAATTTACTTTATGCAGGTCTTCAGGAAAAATTTCCTTTAATGTTTTAGAATTAGTTCTAGATCTGAGCATTTAGTTTTTAATCTTATTTAAACACATTGGGAATAGATAAGCTGATTTCCTTATTTTGCTTGGCTGCTAGAAAACTTAAAATTAAATTTGTAGCCTATTTATCTGTCAATGTACGTATGTGTTTTGATGGGAGCTGTTCTTTCTTTCTTTTTGTTATTGGGGATTTAACCTGAGGGTACTTTACCACTGAGCTATAACCTCAGCCCTTTTTCTTTTGAGACAGGGTGTCAATAAGTTGCTCAGGGCCTTGCTAAGTTGCTGAAGCTGTCCGTGGAACTTGGAATCTTCCTGTCTCAGCCTCAGGCCTGTGCCACTGAACACAGCTTCTTTTTTGGGGGGGTACTGGGGATTGAACTCAGGGCACTTGACCACTAAGGCACATCCCCAGCCCTGTTTTGTATTTTATTTAGAGATAGGGTCTCACTTGCCATTGCTGAGGTTGGCTTTGAACCAACCGTGACCCTCCTGTCTCAGCCTCCAAACCACTGACATTACAGGTGTACACCACCATGCCCAACTCTTTTTTTCTTTTTAAATTCTCTTTTTGGTGTATTCTGTGCAGCTATAGACTCTTTAAGTTGTCTGACACACCACTTAAAAGCTAGATAAGGGGGCTAGATGTGGCTCGGTGGCAGAGCGCTTGCCTCACACATGTGAGACACTGGATTTGATCCTCAGCACTACATAAAAATAAATAAACAAAATAAAGATATGTGTCTATGTATAATTTTAAAATATATTTAAAAAGCTAGGTAAAGGGCTGGGGATGTGGCTCAACTGGTAGCGTGCTCACCTGGAGTGCATGCGGCCCGGGTTTGATCCTCAGCACCACATATCAACAAAGATGTTGTGTCAGCCGAGAACTAAAAAATAAATATTAAAAATAAAATTCTCTCTCTCTCTCTCTCTCTCTTTAAAAAAAAAGCTAGGTAAAATTTTTAGAAGTTGTTGAAATTGATATAGTTGAGCTTCAGGTATAACTTTGACTTTAAGATATAATTAATTAGATAATTTTTTTAGAAAAGAAGAATATTCCCCTAGTATCTCTGAGGAACAAATGATTCTCATGTGTGACTATATACAGAGGAAATATATGTCTTATTCCTCTTTCTTTTTAGACCCCATTTCTTTCCTTATTTATCTTTCTTGGACATTTTTGTTTACTGGTATTCCCACAGTTTACAATCTTAATTTTGGAACTGGAGGTTGAACCCAGATGTATTGTATCACTGAACTACATCCCCATCCCTTTTTATTTTTTACTTTGAAATAGGGCCTCATTAAGTTGCTGAGGCTGGACTCAAACTTTCAGTCCTCCTCCCTCAGCCTCCTGGGTTGCTGGGATTATAGGCTTGCATCATCCATGCTCAGCTCTTAACTTGCGATCTTTTTCTTTTTAAAGACTTGGGTAGTTTCTTTTATTTTTTTAAAGGCAGAAAGAGAGAGAATTTTAATATTTATTTTTTAGTTTTCAGTGGACATAACATCTTTGTTTGTATGTGGTGCTGAGGATCGAACCCGGGCCGCACCAAGCCAGGAGAGCACGCTACCGCTTGAGCCACATCCCCAGCCCCTTAACTTGCTATCTTAAAACAATTTTTATTTTGACTTTAGTGGTTTCTAATATTACTAGAATTGTGCAATATTATTACTAATCTATTTTCTGTCCTATAGGTTTATCTATTTTGGATATTTTAAATAAATGGAATCATATATGGCCTTTTCTGGCTGACTTTTTTCACTTTGCATAATGTTTTCAAAGTTCAAACATAGTGCATATCAGTACTTCATTCCTTTAATATAAAGGAATACCAAAGAATATTCTATCATGGGATGTACCATTTTACTTATTTGCATATCATTTGATGGACATTTAGGTTGTTTTTATTTTGGGGCTATTAATGCTACTATGAACTTCTGCATGAATGTTTTTGTATGTATATGTTTTCAATTCTATTGAGTGTACTCCTAAAAATGGAATTACTGAATCATATGGTAACTTTGTGTTTTTATTAGTCTTTTTTTTTTTTTTTGGACTGGGGATTGAACTCAGGGATGCTTAACCACTGAACCGCAGCCCAACTTCTTTTTATTTTGAGATAGGGTCTGGCTAAGTTGCTTAGGGCCTTGCTAAGTTGCTGAGGCTGGCTTTGAACTTGTTATTCTCCTGCCTCAGCCTCCTGTATCCCTGGAATTTCAGGTGTGCACCACTGCACCAGGCTAATTAGTCTTTTAAGAATCTGCCAATATGTTTTTCAAATAGTAGCTGCATTTTATATTCCTTATAACTGGTGTAAATTTTCCAGTTTTACCACAGTCTTATCCATACTTGTCGTTATATATTTTTTTATTTATCCATCCTACTGGGTGAAGTGGTGATCATTGTGATTTTGATTTGCAGTTCTCTGGTAGCTAATAATGTTGAATACCTTTTCATTATGCTCATTGCCTTTTTGTGAATCTTCTTTGGGAAAATATCTTTTCAGATCCTTTACCAATTTTTAAATTGGGTTATGTGCCCTTTTATTATTATATTGTAAAAATGCTTTAGATAGTTTAGATACAAGTGCCTTACCAGATAAATGATTGGGAAATATTTTTTCTCATTCTGTGTATAGTCTCTTTACTTTTGTTTTTTTGTTTTCCCAATGCTGGGAATTGAACCTAGGGCCTTACATATGTTAGGCATGTGTTCTACCACTGAGCTACACCTCTAGCCTTTTTCACTTTTTTTTTCCACTTTACTTTTTTGATGGTGTCCTTTGAAGTATGAAAGTTTTTAATTTTTATGAAGTACAGTTTATTTGTATTCTTTTTTTCTTGTCCTTTGGTGTCATGTATAAGAAACCATTGCCTAATTCAAGGTTATGAAGATTTACTCATGGGAATAGCCCTTACATTTAGGTCTTTGATTTATTTTGAATGAATTTTTTTATATGGTGTGAGGCAGGGATCTAACTCAATTCTTTTGCATGTGTATATCCAGTGGGCCCAACAACATTTGTTGAAAAAACTACTACTTTTCCCATTGAATTGTCTTGGTACTCTTGTTGACCACCAATTGACCATAAATGTGAGTGTATTTCTGGACTCTTTAAGTTTTGTTCCATTGAATAATAGTTCTGCCCTTATGCCAGTACTACAATGTCTTGATTACTATATCTTTGTAATAGGTTTTCGAATTGGGGAATGTAAATTCTACAACTTTGTTCTTTTTTAAGATAATTTGTTTTTAAGATGTTGATGGACCTTTATTTTATTCATTTATTTGTATGTAGTGCTGAGAATTGAACCCAGTGCCTCACACATGCTAGGCAGGCGCATTGCCACTGAGCCACAACCCAGCCCTCAAGATTATTTGGTTCTTCTGGGTTTTTTCAGTTTTCAGATGAATTTTAGAATCAACCTATCAATTTCTACAAATTAGCAAGCCAAGGTTTTGATAGGGGGATTGTATTGAATTTGCCTTCTTAACTATATCAGCCTTTCCCACTTATTCAGTTATTTTTTAAGAACTTATTTTAATTAGGTTTGACAGCAGAATGCATTTTGATATATTACACATGATTGCAGCACAACTTTTCATTTCTCTGATTGTACACGATGTAGTGTTGCACCATATGTGCAGTCATACATGTACCTGGGTAATAATATCCCATCACATTCCATCATCTTTCCTGCCCCCATATTCCCTCCCCTTTCTTCTCTCCCCTTTGCCCAAAGTTCCTCCATTTTTCCCATGCCCTCCCTTATTATGGATTAGCATCCACTTATCAGAGAGAACATTCAGCCTTTGATATTTGGGGATTGGCTTACTTCGCTTAGCATGATATTCTCCAATTCTGTCCATTTACCTGCAAATGCCATAATTTTATTCTCTTTTAATGCTGAGTTATATTCCATTGTGTATATATATCACAGTTTTTTAAATCCATTCATCTATGGAAGGGCATCTGGGTTGGTTCCTCAGTTTAGCTATTGTGAATTGAGCTGCCATAAACTGTTCAGTTATTTTTAATTTCTTTCAGCAGTGTTTTATAAACTATAAGTTTTATATTTTTTATTCCTAAGTACTTTGTGGTTTTTGATGTTCTTTTAGACACAATTGTTTTCTTAATTTTATTTTGTTTGTTCATTAATGATATATAAAAATACAATTGATTTTGTGGATAAATAGATTTTTATAAGTTACACCATTAAAAGATTTCAGTTCTGCCTCTATAAAAATATTGTCCCTATTTCTTTCTTTCTTATTTATTTTTTTATTTATTTTTAGCTGTAGATGAACAGAATATCTTTATTTATTTATTTATTTTTCTGTGGTTCTGAGGATCAAACTCAGTGCTTCATATATGCTAGGCAAGTGCTCTACCTCTGAGCCTTAACCTCAGCTCCTACTATTCTTAATTCTCAACTGTTACATTATCACAGTAATGATTATAAGAGAAAATTTTAAGAAATAAGATTTAAAAATTACTAAAACGTGTTGTATTTTCCCATTTGCAGATACACTTTTGTTTGTTTTTATTTGTTTGTGGTACTGGAGATTAAACCAAGGGGCACTCCACTACTGAGCTACATTCCCAGCCCTTTTTATTTTGTAATTTTTAATCAAACAGTTAAATTCATTCACTTAGTAAGTACTTAGCAATCACTAATTTTGCAAATGCTGTTTTACTTTTATTTAATTGTATGTTAATCAAATTGTATCAAATAAAGGAGTATTGGTTACTTTTAAAATACTGATCAGAGGAATAAGGGTAATGATTTTGAGCAGAGCAGAAAATTAATAAAAGGTCTAGTTATTATACCCTAGAAATTTTCAGAAAAAAAGTTACATCTTTTTAAAGTTTATGATATATAACTATCTTATTTATATTTAAGGTTCCAGCATTTTGGACAGAGCTGTTATTGAACACAATTTGTTGTCTGCAAGCAAATTATATAATAATATTACCTTTGAAGAACTTGGAGCTCTTTTAGAGATCCCTGCAGCTAAGGTATTTTCTTGATTCTAACACATAAAAAGGAAGTTAAGACTCAGAACGGTTGAAGTAATGAGAAAATAAAATACATAGTTGGTAAATGTTGTCAACCACTGCAGCAAAAATAAAACTACATTACAACACATAAAAACCCTCAAGTAAATGAAAATAAATTGTTTAAATACTAAAATGCTATTGTAATGGAATTGCCTTAGTACTTTTAGTTTTGGTTTTTTAAAATTGTGTTTTATAATAAAGTTACCTAGAATGGAAATCTATAGAATTCCAGATTATGACACCCATTTCATGAGGATATCTTTGTTTAGTGTTTATTTATATCTGCTTCATAATGATTTCTGATTTTTAAAAAATTGATATTGATACATGCCTTCTTTTTCTGCAGTAGATTAACTTGAAGGTTAAATATTTCTATTTTTAAAAAAATATTTTGTTTTTAGTTGTAGTTGGACACAATACCTTTGTTTTATTTATTTATTTTTATGTGGTGCTGAGGATCAAACCCAGCGCCTTGCACATGCTAGGCAAGCACTCTACTGCTGAGTCACAACCCCAGCCCCAAATATTTTAACTTTTTGAGAGAATGATATGGCAATATCTCAGGCTATTCTGTTGCAATTTCTGTGATCAGTTTTAATTTAAGAAATGTGTCTTAAGTATATATGAGGAATTTACTCCCAAGGAATTTAATTTCATTAGGATTCAGTTAGCCATATATAAATTTAATTTCATTCTTATGATTGAATTACTAGGGAATTTGATTTCATCCTTAGGATTTACTAAGGACTTACAAGAAAATTTAATTTCACTCTTCCAAGTTGGTTGGTCATAAATAAATTCCAACAATGTACCAATGGTATGTAAAGGGTGTTTCAGTTATTTACAAAATGTTCTCTCAATTTTAAATAGTATTAAAAGTAAGCAACTTTAACCTTAAAGTCAGACAATTATGAGTCAAATTTCCCTTTTATCTGGTAGTGAAATTTCAATTTAGGATTTTCTAACAATTTCTTTTTGGGAACCAAGACTTAAGTTACCATTTAAAAGATGCTTTCTTCTTAGATTTTGAGGTGTAATCCCCTGCTGATCCTAAAAGAAATGAATGTACTTGAAACAATAAGTGATAGTCGTAGTCTGTTAGGAGTGATTTAATTGCTTTTGAAGTAATAAATGACTTCCAATGCTATTTGCATTCACATACTAGACATTAAATATGTCTTCAGGAGCTAGGATGGAAGATCCTTTGTTCCCCTTTAATTGTCTTTTAAACCCTTTTGAATCTGAACATCTATTCCTTCTTTTAATACATTTTTTAAAAAATATATAACTTTCTTAAAAGAGTTTTTCGGACATTAAACACTGTGGAAATTGAAATGAAATAAAAACTAGTTTGGCTTTTTTTTTCCTCCAGGGGAAGATCCTAGTGAAAAGAAAATTGTTTGATTTTGAGCAGAAGAGAAAATTGGTCATAGGGTTAGATTCTTGTTTAAAATCTGGCAAGAATATATCCAAATTGACTTAAAATAATGTAATGCCCACAAATAATTAGGAAAATAAGCAGATTTATAAGACATGTTTTTCTAATGGTTGGCAGATGAATGTATATGTAAAGCTTAGAGATAGATAAACCAGAAGTTTTCAATTCTCTTATATGTGAATAACTGTTAGATGTAATAAGTTTGAAAATTTATTGTTTTTTTTTTTAATAGGCAGAAAAGATAGCATCCCAAATGATAACAGAAGGACGTATGAATGGATTTATTGACCAGATTGATGGAATAGTTCATTTTGAAAGTAAGAAGTTTTGTGTATCTGTTTTATGAAATGGCAGTGAATTTTGCACATGTATGATTAAAATATATTGAATAATTTCTTTTGACACAGAATTTTACTACTGGAATAAGCTTATTTCTAAGAAATAATTTAAAATAACTTTATATTCATGAATCTGCTTAATGCAGCATTTGCTAAACTAAGGAAAAATTGAAACTTGAATTTTATCAGTTTACTCAATTACTTATCAAACACTTATAGACCTCATAAGATGTATTGGGCATGTGGAAATGCCAGTTGCATTTTCTGTTCAGCAGCTCATTAAACTAATGGAAGCCAGCAGGTAAGTGGATCCCTTGACTTTGTCTGATATCTTTTCTCCTCTTTATTCCCACATCCATTACACCCTGGTCTTTATTGTATCCAGAACTATTCCACTTGTAAAATTTTAATTTGAAATACCTCACTCTGACCATAACCTTTTCCCTTTTTCTCTGTTGGTCTGTCTCAGTTACTCCCATTCTACTTACTCCCATCCCACAGCTTTTCCTTGACCACATGGGAGCTGCTGATTGACTCGTTTCTTCCTTCCAGTCAGTGAAATCCTTTTATTTGTCTTTAATTTTCTTTCTAATTGGCTTGGATTCCATAATCCATTAGTTTAATTACTTTTTTACAGGTGCCCTAGAATACTTACTTGCCTGTTGACTTTTTATTCCAGCTGTCCAGGAAACTTCACCTTGAAAGACAGAATGTCTTTTCCAAACCTGCACATGAATAGCTAGCTAGTGTTGCTGAAGGAGGATCAAGTATCAGACAGGTACACTGAAAATTTAAGATCACACGTCCTCAATACTACCTGGGATTCATGGTACATTTTTCTAGTCCACCACTGTGCAATAACTATTTCGGATTTGATTTTTCTTTATCCTATGACTTTTTTCCTCTCTCTGAACAAAAACCCTTATTTCCTATTTCACAAAATAAGAAAAATAAAATGCATCATTGTGAAATTATTTTAACCTCTTGATCAGATTTAAAACCTCTAAATTTTAGGTATAGACCTAAATACTTTTTTGTCTTTCTTGTTATATTGGAGATGTTTTCCATCTCCCTGTCCATTTCTTTTGCCCACGCTTCTCTAGCTTCTACTTCCCCACCTACTCACTTAAGAAGAAGAAGAAAAGTACTGTTTTAGGAACTTGAAGTTAGCAGTTAAATTTTTGTTTGTTTTCATTCTTTTTTTACTTTGTTGACTTTTTTTCATTAATATTTAAGTGTACGCAAGTCTCTCCCATTTAAAGAAAGATCCTTTTATCTTTGAGGCTTCATCTTGACTTTTCAACAAAATGAATGGTGTTGCTCATTTTCCTTTTTGGACACCTCACTACCATCACTAATGCTGCCTTGATTTCTTTCTTCTCCAGCCCATTTTTCTGCTTTCCTTACTATTTCACCAGGTATTCTTTGCAGTCATTATAGATTCTGTGGTACCTTTAAATATTGGAGTTACTTATGGCCCCCTTGATTCAGTTACCATCTCTTTTGTAGACAGTGGCTACATTTACTTTCATGTCAATCTTTGATTCCCAGCCCATGGCTTTAGTTCATTATTACGGTGTTTGTACTTGACTGCTTCATGGGCATCTTAAAATGAATACATACCCAAAACTGAATTCATTATCTCTCTTTCCTATGTGATCATAGGCATTCAAAAACTACATTGTTCACTTTCTCCAACATTCCTTGTTCTTAACATCCTCTTCTCCTTCACTGCCCAGAAACCTGCCAGTTATTCCTTTTAATGGCATATAGAATCCTTTTGCTTTTCTTCATTTTGTACCACTTGCCAACCTATTCTTTTTTTTTTTTTTTTTATTGTTGGTCGTTCAAAACATTACACAGTTCTTAATACATCATCTTTCACGGTTTGATTCAAGTGGGTTATGAACTCCCAACTTTACCAACCTATTCTTTTTAAAAAATATTTTTTTTACTTGCAGTTGGACACAGTGCCTTTATTTTATTTATTTTTATGTGATGCTGAGGATCGAGCCCAATGCTGCGTATGTGCTAGACGAGCGCTCTACCGCTGAGCCCCAGTCCCAGCCCCAGCCCTGTCACCTATTCTACTATTCTAACCCTACTATCCTAACCTCTTATGCTGTAGAGACAGAAGCCTTTCCCCTACTTCATGCCCCTTTCTAATCTTTTTTCCTACTAGCCAGAGTGATTGTGATCTTTTAAAAATACAAACATAAAAAAGAAATTTTAAAAAACTCTGAATCATGTTGTTTTTGTTTACACTCTGATGAATGACTTCCCTGTTGCTTGTCAAAGCTCTACAAAGTTTCCAAAATACCCTTCCTGATCCTCTTTAGCTTTCTCTCACCAATCCAGCCACATAGTTCTTTGTATTTTTTTCAGCATTGTAAATTCTTGCCTCTGTCAAACCTCCTAAATATTCACCCTCTTTAGCCATCTTTGTTTTGTCCCATGTCTCAATTTGAACAGTGTTAATCAGTAGTGATCTTCTTATCTCTCCAGATTAGGGGTAGCTTTGTATGTTCTCATGTCACTCTGAATTTCTTCCTAACATTAATCTTAATTATTTTCAATTGCATATCTTTGTCTAAATGTTTCCTTCTGCTTCCAAGCTGAACTTCCTGATGGCAGATATTAATACGGTCATATTTTACACAGTACATTCAATGTCCAGTGACTAGTGCACTGAAAATGAGAAGTAAACACTGTAGATGACGAGTAGCATGGCAGAGGTATCACTAAGGAAGGGTCATTCAAAATAGCTTATATTAAGTTAATATATAAAATATTTTTCTAATATTCTTAGATCTCAAAAAATAATGGTAAATATTCTCATAACAAGTAAAGCATTACAATGGTAAATAAAGGAAGCATTCATGGGAAATATTATGAATGCTTCCTTTATTTACCATTTCTTCTTTTTATGAAGAAATGGGAAATATTATGAATTCTTCCTTTATTTACCATTTTTTCTCCCTCTTCATTTCCTCTAAAGTCTCTGATGTAACTAATAATGTCTGTGAACCTTGTGTGTCTTTCTAGATGCTATGCAAGATAATGTAAAACATAGATGTGTTTTAAAAGTGGGATTACAAGTATTTTAAAGTACATAGTACTTAAAATTGCTTTTTGAATTTATTATACTATGGATATATTTTCAAGTTATAAAATAGCAATCTAATTTGTTTTATAGCTATGTAATAGTTTATTGAGTTCAAATCTTTACCATTGTCAAGTGGTTGCCCTTTTTTTTTTTTTTTTTTTTTTAATTAGTGGGGTTTGAACCCATGGGTGCTCTACCACTGAGCTACATTCCTGGTCCTTAATTTCGGGATAGAGTCTCATTAAAATGTCACTGAGGGCTCTGTTAAGCTGCTGAGGCTGGCCTGGAACTTGTGATCGATCCTCTTGCCTCAGCCCTGTGAGCTAGTGGGATTATAGGCCTGTACCACCTTGCTTGGCTTCCTTATATATTTATGTACCAATACACTTATGGTATTCTATAGAATACACTTATTTCTATAGAACAGGCTTAGAAGAAACATTGTTGCATCAAAGGATTTGTTATTGTTGTTGTTATTGTTGGCAAGGCAAGCACTCTGCCAACTGAGCTATATCCAGCCCTCAAAGGATATGTGTATTTTTACTTTTAAGAGATACTACCAGTTAGCTTTCCAGAAAAGTATAGCTGTTTAGAATTCTACCAGAATGAGAAATTGAATCTTCAATAGCTGGATGTCATGGCTTTCTAAATCTTTTGCCATTTAACGGGAGGAAATGACATTATTATTTAGGTATGTATTTTTTTAGCATTAATGAAGTTTAATACCTTTCCATTTGTTTGGCATTAGCATTTTCAATTCTCTAAATTAATGTTACTTTTTCTTGTCTATTTCGTTCTTTCTACCACACCTTTCCTGACCTTTCAGTATCCATTTTTTATAGTTTTTGGTATAATGATTGTTTTAACTTTGTTATATGTATTACTGATTTTTCCCCATCATATCAAGTTTTTTTTTTCTATAAGGGAAATGCATATTGTAAGTGTATTTTCTTAAACTTTTTTGCAGCCAAACATGTCAATTTTATATTTTATGATTTATCTGTGCCCCTTGTTGGTAAATTTTGCTGCTCTTTTGAATGAGACTGTATTAAAAAAAATAAAATTGAAAATGTTTCTATCTTACCTTAAGGTAAAGCTAGTGTTTTCCTAAAATTTCTTCTAATATTTTAATCTTTCTTTTGTTTTATATATAGAAATTTATTCTATCTATAGTTCATTTTTGTGGATGATTTAGAGTATGATCTAATTTTTCTAGATGAATAATCAATTATGCAAGTATAATTTATTAAGTAAGCATTCTTTCTGATTTGTGATCTCTGATATATGGTGGGTTCCACATACATGATTGCAAGTACTTCATTCACCTGATCTGCAACAATGTGATAATAAGTATTGTAAATGTTACTGTTGGTAAAGCACCCTACCCACCACTGCTTTTCACTTTACGGGATTGAAATCGCATAACATAATTAACCATTTTAAAGCAAACAATTCAGTACCACATACTCCCTCCCTAACTAGTGTACTTCCATCTCTATCTAGTTTTGAAAAAATTTTTGTTGCCCCAGAAGGAAATCCATGCCCATGAGCAGTTATTCCTATTCTTCCTTCCCCCAGCTTCTGGTGCTACCCAACTTCCTTCTGTCTCTATATTTTCCTATTATGGAATTTAATATAAATAGAATCATCTAATATGGGACCTTTTTGTTTCTTTCATTCAGCATAGTAAGTTTGAGGTTCATCCATGTTGTGGCATATCACAATTCTGCCCTTCTTTTTCATTTTCAAAATTATCTTGGCTAGTCTTAAACAACAATCTTCTATATATTAACTTTAATGACTTTGTCCTGGTCATAAAACAAAATAGAAAGGGATTTCATTACATATCTATAACAGGGGAAAATTGATATTTTTATGATATTACATATTTCCGCTTGGAATATGATTTATATCTACCCAATTTATTTTGTGTCTTTTATTATGATTTTTTGTTTGTTTGTTTGTTTGGTATCGGGATTGAACTCAGGGGCACTTGACTACTGAGCCACATCCCCAACCCTATTTTATATTTTATTGGATATAGGGTCTCACTGAGTTGCTTAGTGTCTTGCTTTTGCTGAGGCTGGCTTTGAACTTGCAATTCTCCTGTCTCAGCCTCCAGAACCTAGTGGATTATAAATGTGTACCACCACGCCCAGCCTTTATTATGACTTTATATATCTTTTTCCATTAAATCTCTGCCCCTTATTTGGTAAATTTTGCTGCTCATCTGAATGAGAATTCCCTTCATTTTTTTCATTTCTAACTACATTTTGCTGACATAGAGAAAAATCTGGTGGATTCAAGGTAGTGTTTTGGGTGGTTGTTATTGGGTTTGTTTGTGTTTAAATGTTATTCAGAGTCAAACAGAGGCAGTATTGGACTATATAAGTAGATTTATTTTCCCCTGTAGATGGCAGTGTTGTACGATTAGTTAAAGGAAAAACTGCTTTAATAAGGGTGTGTGTGCACGCACGCGTGTATGCATGTGTTCATGTGTGATTGAGGTTGTTTAGTTAATGACTTTATTTTGTTTTCAAGAATTCATAATAATAACATTTATCTGTGTGCATATATTTTACGTTATATACTCTGTTAATGGTTTGAGTTCTTAACTATTGCTTAGTTAGCTCACCTATTTTAGCTAAGATTTTTGGAAAAAACTTTACAAATAAATATTATTATAATTATCTTTTAATTCCCATTTGCTATAAATACAAAGGAGTCATTTCAGATTTTTTGCATTATTTACTTTTTTTTTTTTTTAATTTTAGCACGAGAAGCCCTGCCAACATGGGACAAGCAGATCCAATCACTTTGTTTCCAAGTCAATAACCTCTTGGAGAAAATTAGCCAAACAGCCCCAGAATGGACAGCACAAGCCATGGAAGCCCAGATGGCTCAGTGAACCCTTATGGAACTTCTGTACACACTACATCTTTTTCCATGTTGTGCAGATTGATTTCACTTTCCCTCCAAAGCATTTGCATCGTGACCTTATACATTTCAATCCCTTTTATGCTGGATTCCACTTAAAGAAGACATTAGAGCAGGAAGTACAAGCATTTAAAAATACGTAGTTCCCATATATTCAGGGTCTGTGTATTGAGCTAACTCAGATGTTTTGAAAGCTTTTTCTTTAAACAAAGGTAAAAATATCTATGGCTAAAAAGTTTGGGATTTGTGATAACTTTGTAGTCATGTAAAATTAAGTGCTTTGTGCCTCTAAAATGTGGTTATTCTAATAAATTGAGAAATGAACCAAATAAAAGTAGTTCTTTGTTTTTAATTAGTGAAAAGTATTTTTTCCTTCAATTCAACAGACATTGATTTATATTATATGCTACAAAACGAAGAAAAGCTATAATGCCTGTTCTCCAGAAATTCAAAGTGTCATCAAGCCAAGAGATAGTAAATTTAATCTTTGGAGTTGTATCAAGTACTAGAGCACACAAGGAAAAGCTGCCTCTTTGAAGCTGGGCCTACAGAGAATATGGTGAAGGACTTTAAAAAAAAAAATGTGAGTGACTTTCTATTTCAGCTCCAATATGTAAAAATCTCAGAAGTCAACATGACATCCTCACAGCACAAAAACCACTAAACAGACTGTTTAGAGAAAGTGTAGAAAATTCTAGCCTCCTTTAACCTTTCTGTCATGTCAGGGGAGGAATAATAAAGAAACACTACTGAGTGTAACCAGGGATTAAACTAAAAAACAGAAATATATTATAGAAGGTTTCCCAAATACCATATAACCACATCAGTAGGAATCCAGTATATAACTAGATAATGAAAGCTACAAAACACATTTAAAAAGGAATTTAAGAAGGAATTCTTAGGAAAACCCAAAACAATGGAGGAGGGGAGAGAAAACAAGTCTTATTCAGTTATAGGTATAACAGTCTGGGCCTTGCCCAGATTAACAAAAGCTTCAATTAGAAGTCTAATTATCTATTGCTTGATATATCATATCTGACTTTCAACCAAAAACTAGAAGGCTGATAGGCCAGAAAACAATCTGAAGAGGTACATGAAGGATCAGAACTAGATTAAGAAATGGTAAGGATATTGGAATTATCAGACCAGGAATTTAAAACAACTATGATTAACATATCAAGAGCTCTAATGGAAAAAGTAGACAATATGCAAGAACATAGGATAATACAAGTGGAGAGATGGAAACTAAGAATCAAAGTGCTAGAAATAAATACTACCACAGAAATTAATGCTGTTGATGGGCTCATCATTAGGAGGTGGGGAACAATCCATGAGTTTAAACGTATGTCAACAGAAACTTCCCAAACTGAAATACAAAGAGAAAAAAGAATGAGAAAAGTGAAACAATATCCAAGAGCTGTGGAACAATTAGGAAAAGTGTCATATGTAAATTCGAATACCAAGAGGAAAAATAAGAGGGAAACAGAAGAAATATTTGAAATAAAAATTGTTAAGAATTTTCCAGAATTGATATACACCAAACCACAGTTCTAAAAAGCTCAAAACATCAAGTAAGAGTTGGGGATGTAGCTCAGTGGTAGAGTGCTTGCCTATCATGCATAAAAACTCAGGTACAATACACAACTCCAAGCCAATCAACCACCCAAAAAGGGCCAAAGCGAAAACAAAAATATCAAGTAGAATAAATACAAAAAATAACAACAACAACAAAAAAAACCCTACACCTAGTTATATTCAGACTGCAGAAACCAAAGAGAAAATCTTGAAAAAAAAGCCAAAAGAATAAAACACCTTATCTGTAGAAGAACATGAATGAGAATTACATTGGATTTCTCATCAGAAATCATACAAAATAAGAGCAGACTGGAAACATTTAAGGTGTTAAAGAAAAACGCCCTACCACCATAGATTTTATACAGCAAAGATACCCTTCTAATATCACAAAAAAAAAAAAAACCTAAGAATTTTCTGCCAGGAGGCCTGTCTTAGAAAAATGTTAAATTCTTCAGAGAGAAGGAAAGCATAGAGGAGTTAAAAACTCAGATTTAGATAAAGGAAGATTAGAGCAGAAAGAAATGAAAGTTAAAGCAGTATTTTCTTTTAAAAATTTTTAGTCGGATAACAGATAACTGGTCAAAGAAGTAATAGCAACAATGTATGGGTGATTATAACATGGATAAGTGAAATAGTGTTGTAAAGGATGGGAGTAATGAATTGAGAATACTCTCTAGTTACCTACACTACCATGAAACAATAGTGTTCTTTGAAAGCAGAATTAGATTGGTTGGAAATGTATATTGCAAACACGAGGGCAACCACTAATTTTAAAAAATTGCCATGCTAAGAGAAAATTGAATCAAAATGCTTACTTAAAACCAGACACAATAATACAGCATCAGGCTGGGGATATAGCTCAGTTGGTAGAGTGCTTGCCTTGCATGCACAAGCCCTGGGTTCAATCCCCAGCACACTCCCTTCCCCCACACAAATACAGTATCAAAATATGTGAGGCAAAAAATATATATACAAGGTAAACCAGAAGCTGGACACCATGGTACCCACCGAGAACCCCACGGACTCAGGAAGCTGAGGTAGGAGGATAGCAAGTTCCAGGTTAGCCTCAGCAATTTAGCAAGACCCTATTTAATAAATAAATATATATATATATATAAATAAAAATATATTTTTATAAATATATATCATATATTTTATATATATATATCATATATTATATATATATCACCCTAAGCCAAAAAACAGTTTTAGACTTCAACATCCTCTGTCGCCAATAGCCAGCTTTAGTGGACAGAGAATCACTAAGGACATAGTTGAGCTCAAGCTCTCAACTAACTAGACATAATTGACTATACAGATTGCTTCAAACAATGGGATCCACATTCTCAGGGTCACACGGAACATTCACTAAGACCACAAAACTAACTAAAACAAACAAACAAAAAAACTCATCCTAGTCCATAAAACACACCTTAGCAAATTTAAAAGAATAGAACCCACACAATGTATACTTTCAGGTCACAACAGAATGAAACCAGAAATTAATAACATAAAGACAGCTTGAAAATTCTCAAATACTTGGAGATTAAATAACATGGTTCTAAACAATGCATGACTCAAAAAAGAAACCTTGAGACAAATTTCAAAATATTTTGAATACAATCAAAATACAACTTGTCAAAATTTGTGGGATACAGTACTAGAGAGATATTTATAGCATTGAATGCATTAGTAGAAAAGAAAACAGAATTAAAACAATAATCTAAGCTTCCAATTTAAGAAATTAGAAAAAAAGAGAAAATCAAATACCAATTAAGCAAAAGAGAGAATAATAAAAATTAAAAGCAGACCAGATAAGAAATTGATAAGATTGAAAGTTGGAAATTAATAAATAAAAATCAAAGAAAACAAAAAAACTGATGCTTTAAAAATAAAATTGGTAAGCTGCAAGCTAAGGTAAGATAAAGAAAAAAGAGAAAAGACACAAATTACTAAAATCAGAAATGAAAGAGGGGTCATCACTACAGATGCCATAAATAATAAATTTGAACGGCTCTGTCCCCACAAACTCGATAATCTATGTGAAATGAAATTCCTGAAGGACACAATCTGCTATAATTCACACACAAAGAAACAATCTGAAAGGGCCTATATTTGTAGAAGAAACTGAATCAATACCCAGGCATGGGGGCATTCGCCTGTAATCCCAGTGGCTCAGGAGGCTGAGGCAGGAGTCCAAAGCCAACCTCAGCAACTTAGTGAGGCCCTGTCTCTAAATAAAATACAAAAAAGGGCTAGGTCTGTGGGTCAGTGGTTAAGTGCCCCTAAGTTCAATTTCTGGTACCAAAAGAAAAAAAATTCAATCAATAATCAATAACTTTTCATAACAGAAAGTACTAGGCCCAGATGGGTTCACTGATGAATGCTACCAAATATTTAAGATAGAAATACCAATTCTCAGGGTTGGGGATGTGGCTCAAGCAGTAGCGCGCTCACCTGGCATGCGCGGGGCACTGGGTTAGATCCTCAGTACCACATAAAAATAAAATAAAGATGTTGTGTCCACTGAAAACTAAAAAAAATAAATATTAAAAAATTCTCTCTCTCTCTCTCTCTCTCTCTCTCTCTCTCTCTCTCTCTCTCTCTCTCTTTCTTGAAAAAAAACAAAAACAAAAAAGAAATACCAATTCTCTACAGTTGCTTCCCAAAAAAAAGAAGCAACAAAATTGCTTCTTAACCCATTCTGTGATGACAGTCTTACCAAACCAGATTGAAAACACTATAAGAAAGAGAAACTATAGACCCATATTTCTCATAGATGCAAAATTAATAATAAATAATAGCAAATCAAATTCAACAATGAGTTAAAAAAACTATATATCTTCAAGTGGAATTTATTCCAGGTATGCAAAGCTAGTTCGACATTGAAAAATCAGTTAATATAATCCATCACATCAACAGGCTAAAGAAGAAAAATCACATATCATACCAATAGGTACAGAAAAAATAGAGCTATCATCCTTAAAGACTCCATACCAAGTCCCTCAAATGCCTCTCTCAGTTCACAAGGACCTCGCCGGGCCCAGGAAACCATGAGAGCAACCAGAGCCAGAATGCCTCTCTAGAAAGACACTGACTCCCTCACTATGCTGGGACCTAGGGCAAGTGAATGTTGTCTGTAGAAAGCAGCTTTAATTGTGTATATGCCATGACAGCTGCTCCTTGGGATGCCGGTCATGTAAGGAACAAAGCAAAGGAAACAAATTAATGATGTCACTGCTTCTGTGGCCTGGCAGATGAAATCCCCAAATAATCAAAAACAAAACAAAACCTCCTCAAACTAATAAGCATTTGTGGCAGATCACAGGAAACTAGGCTAATAGATGAAAGTCAATTGCTTTCCTATATACCAGCAACAAAAAATAGGAATTTAAAATTTTAAAAATATGTGCAGTGGAGGCAGGAAATATTTGGGAATTTGAGAGCAAAAAAAGTAGTAGGAGGGCTGGGATTGTGGCTTAGTGGTACAGTGCTCGTGTTGCATGTGTGAGGCACTGAATTTGATCTTTGGCACTGCATAAAAATAAATAAAATAAAGGTATTGTGTCCATCTACAATTAAACAAATATTTAAAAAGGAGAAGCAGCAGGAGAGTAGATTAAAGAGGTAAACTGAGGCTACATTTTTCTAGAAAAATGTTTTATAGAAAATTTGTGGGCTGGGGATGTGGCTCAAGCGGTAGTGCACTCGCCTGGCATGCATGTGGCCCGGGTTCGATCCTCAGCACCACATACAAAA